TATCATCACCAACAATAGTAATGAATTGACCACCTCGTTTCAATATTTTTTGTGCTGATATCCATTGTTGTTCACCACCAACACAATCATATATAATATCATAATTTTGATCTGAAGATAAAAAATAAATAATAAAATAAAATAATTATTTAAATATATTTATCTTTAAGTTCTTCTCCAAAATCTTTTTCATTATAATCAATAATATGTAATTGATTTTGATCATTATTTATCTCAATATTTGTTTGTATTATTGTATATCCTAGAAAGAATAAATAAAAATAAAACAAATTCTATAGAATAGATAATAGAATACAAACCAAGTTTTTCCATTAGACTAAAATTTCTTTGTGAACATGTTGCAGTAACATAAGCACCAACTGCTTTAGCTAATTGAATTGCATACAAACCAGTTGCTGTACTACCACCACAGATTAATATTTTACTTCTTGGTCCAATAGGAGGTGAAGCTTTTTTAAATAATGCTTGATAACTAGTGTTACATGCTAAAGGTATAGCAGCTGCTTCTTCCATTGTTAAATTATTTGGTTTTAATGTAAAAACTGATTCATCACCACGAACATATTCAGCATAACTACCACCATGAATTGTAAGATCTCCATAAACTTTATCACCAATTCGAAGACGTTTTACACCTGAACCAATATCAACAACAACACCAGCAACATCAGTACCTGGTGTATGAGGAAATGAATATCGAGTAACAAGTGATAATCTTCCATTTAATACTTTCCAATCGACTGGATTTATTGCAGCAGCATAAGCTCGAACAAGAATTTGTTTAGATGATAATTGACGAGGCACAGAGACATTCTCACCGAGCGTCAAAACATCACGTACTTCTCCAAAATCACTTTGTTGAGCAGCTTTCATCACAGAAGGAATATAAATATCATTATTTGTTTTATTAGTAGTTGCTTTAGCCATATTAATAAAATGAAATCTTAAACAAAAAAATAACATCAAATACAATATCTTAGGTATAAAATTGATAAGATTCATTTCGAAGCTTTTAACAATTAACATTCTTGTATAATTCTAGTCTATTAAAAATGATAAAGTTTAGTGGTCTACAAATAAAATAAGACATCACGTTATCAAATTTACATGATGCATATGTCTATGAATCAACGTGCAAAAAAGGTGAAAACTTTATCTAATTCACATAAAGTTCGAAGTACGAGTGCAGTCGTAATTTTTCTCTCGTTCTGTTACTGCATATGACAAACAAATATTTAATGGAAGAAAAAAAGTCACCAACAATGATGATGAAGAAGGATTATTGTTTTCCTACTTAATAACGAAAAAAAAAACTCAAACTTTTGATGATGATCAATTTAGTTATGAGAAAATCATCGATGAACAAGAATAACAACGAAAGGTTATTTTTGTTTTTGTATTGAAACGTACTAATATGTAAGAGTAATGAACAGATATTATTAACATGTTGATTATTTGTTATATATTTCGATTCGTAACCTAATGCAGATCGGATCTGAAGTTCATTTTATATATATAGACCTGGGCCCAGATCTGGAACCATCCGCATCTCCCAATTTCTCAGGATCATGTGCGATGATGTTTTTTCATCTTTGATGCGCGAGAGACATACAGGCAAACATGTTTCACTTTTTTTCACATCATCCTTCCTCCAGTCGAGGGAATAGTATTATGGTTTTATCTTCAAATTGACTTACTAGTTTTCAATAATTGATTATCTATATACTAGGTAACATTTTTATATCATGAATCTGTCGTCCAACTTTTATTATACAATTGTATAAATACTTTGCATTCAGAATACAGAACACGTTCATTTTGAACTGTTTTGAAGGTAAGAGTGAGAATAATTGATTGATAGTTTATAGTATTTCGTATACTCACATCCTTCCTTGTTTATTTATATAATTGAGTATTATATAATAATATATTCAACATAAAACAAAAGA